CTGCAGCTTCCAGGTGGACGGAGCGGACCTGCAGCTTCCAGGTGGACCGAGCGGACCTGCAGCTTCCAGGTGGACGGAGCGGACCTGCAGCTTCCAGGTGGACCGAGCGGACCTGCAGCTTCCAGGTGGACGGAGCGGACCTGCAGCTTCCAGGTGGACCGAGCGGACCTGCAGCTTCCAGGTGGACGGAGCGGACCTGCAGCTTCCAGGTGGACGGAGCGGACCTGCAGCTTCCAGGTGGACGGAGCGGACCTGCAGCCGGGTCTCTCGAGGGTCGTCTTGGGCGATGGGGAGACGGTAGTTTTCCCACCTGGATTCGTTCTGGTGGTGGGCTGTCTCGGTACGCTGGTGAAGTGATGGACTTTAAGGATCCGGTGGTGAAACGTAGAACTGGATCAACAGAACTTTCCAAAGTCCCTTCTTAGTTGGTCACTTGGTTGAAACTGGATCAAAACTTCAACTCTGCTCTACAGAACTTTTACGTGAAAAACGAAATATTTTACTTAATTTGGTCGGGGTCAGTTTTGCTTTAAGACCCGATGAGCCTGGTTTAGGGCGCTATCTAAGGACCATCATGGGGTGAAAGGCGGGGTGCACCTGAACAGGTGGGCCACCACCTGTTCACCTTCACACCTCAGGCCAAACCAGAATTACCAGTTAGAAAAAAACCTTCATGTTCAGGGGCCAATGGGAGGATTCAGTTCACTGCACCGATGACCAGAATTAACTGTGCAAAACATTAAATAACATTCAGACTCATTTGAATTAGTTCCTAAATAAAATGGGTTTAAATTTTCAGTCCAAAATGTTGCGTTCACATTGAGTGATAAAAATCACAAGTTTTCCAGATATTTAGATGTTTTTAAGTTTCACAATTTAGCCAAATGTAAAACCATTATTCTAACTTGGCCCACTTCATTCCCTGACATGACCTTCAACAAGTGTCTCTGCCGTTTATTGTTTATTTATTTTGTTCAAGTGTTTCTCAAAGGAATGCATATCTTTATTATTTTAAATCCACCGTGCATGTCTCATTACTTTTACAGCTGTTAATATTTGTCCTTTTTTAGTTTTGAATGGCAGCAACTGTTCAAACTACAAACTGAAGCACTGGTGTTTGCTAAACTAAAACTGTCTATCGATTGATTGTATGGGTTTACAGACGGTGGTCCTCAGAGGACTGTTTAAACATTTAAATAAAGGTTCTCCGGCTCTGCTCTAAAAGTTTGACATGAAAGGAATGTCGGACCTTTTATTGATTTGATTATTTCTGTTCAAATGCACGATTAAACCTGGAGTTTCATAATGAAAGCTCCTCTTTGACACGGAGAGATTCACATGGAGATCACTGCCAGCGTGTTCGTCCTTCACAGGGTTCTCAACGTGTTCCGTCAGTGGGTGGAGCATCATTTCTACGACTTCGAGAACGATCCAAACCTGAGAGCTCGGTTGGAGAACTGCATCGCCACCAAAATTCAACTTCGAGGTCAGTCACGAGGAAACTTTCCCTCGTCTTGACTTCTGATACTCAAGATAATGTAACGAAACTTTAAACACACGCATCATCACTGGAGACCGTGTCGCAAACACCACCCAGCTCCTACGTCAAGGTCATAGATCAAGGTCAAAGTTAAAAAGGTCTTTGCTTGTCTGGGCCATTGCTTTTGTTTGTTGATGGGTGTATAATGTGGTGGATGCAGTACTGTTGTCAACACCGTGGGATACCTGGACACCTGTGATCTGCTCATGGCAGCTCTCACACCGACCCTCTGACTTTAGAAAATAATTTACTCTGGGTTTGAGACTTATTTTTGTCACTGCGTAATTTTCCTTCTTTTACGTCACAGTTGTGCGTTTCTGTACAGCTGTGGGTCTGCAAGGCTTTCATGCACGATTCATGTTTTATTTTGTTTTTTAGGCAAGTCGATGAGAAAATGGGTTGAGTCCATCAATAAAATCATCAAGAGGAAACTTCAGACTCAGTCAAACGGCATCAGCCACTACATCACCTTCGAAAGCCCCCCTCCTCCCATCGAGTGGCACATTTGCAAAACCAGCCAAGTGGACTTGTTCGGTCTCATGACCCTTCACCCGATAGAGATCGCTCGCCAGCTCACGCTGCTAGAGTCTGAGCTGTACAGGTAAACACTGCAGGTCTGACAGGTGAAGGAAGGTGAACGTGAGTAATGGAACGCTGAATCTTGGTCCGCAGAGCCGTTCGACCGTCTGAACTTGTTGGCAGTGTCTGGACCAAAGAGGACAAAGAAAAGAACTCGCCAAGCTTGCTCCGCATGATCAAGCACACCACCAACTTAACGCTATGGTTTGAAAAGTGCGTCCCGTCATGTTTCTGCTTTGGCTTTAGGGTTCTTGGGAGTAAAATGGAACTGTGTTCACGCTCGTTTGTTGCAGATGTATTATAGAAACGGAGAACATCGAGGAGAGGGTGGCGGTATTATCACGCATCATTGAGATCCTGCAAGTGTTCCAGGAGCTCAACAACTTTAACGGTGTGCTGGAGGTGGTCAGTGCCATCAACTCTGCCCCGGTCTACAGGTTGGACCACACCATGGAGGTGAGTCGGACCTCTGTCGGGTCAGGAAGCTTGGGTTATTTCTAGAGCTGCTGCAAAACATCTAACCTCACATTCGAGAATTACACAAGTCCAGGTTCTCTCGCAGAAACTGATGCGATTTAATCAAATCTGTGACGTTTCGCTTCCTCCTTCCCACAGGCAATACCAGAAAGGAAAAAGAAAATCCTGGATGAAGCCGTGGAACTGGGCCAGGACCATTTTAAGAAATACTTGGCTAAACTCAAGTCCATAAACCCACCCTGTGTGCCTTTCTTTGGTAAGTCCCGTACACTTTGCTGTGCACGTAAGATTAAACAAAAAGCTCCCTTTTAATTGTGACGTAACTATTGGGATCACCTGTTCTGTCACCAGAACACCTCAGGAACAATCGGACCAACCGTAATGAACCTTTAAGAAACGAATCACTGCATGTACAACTGATAAACTGCTGGAGTCGCCTGATTCAAGATGGCTGCTACAGCAAACTGCATTTTTAAAAAATGGGCAATTTACAGATATTGACTTAAAATTTGGTGTGGCAGTAGATGAGAGTGATCCCTAACACATAATCTGAGGATTAACTGATTGTACACGTTTTGAGTTAAACCCTCTAAATGTCCTTTTCCTGAGAGGAAACATTGACCCCCTTATGAAAAATACGATGACCGTCATTTCCCGTCTAAAGAACGGACCCGAGCGAAATGTTCAAGCTCAGTGTTTATGGCGGCAGGAAGCCCGTTAAAAATAAAAATATAAATTAGCCGCAGCATTGTATAAACCGCTGCGTTCAAAGCGTGTGGAAAAAGTAGGGGCTTATACCAGGAAAGTACGGTAATTATTATGTTTGTCCAGTGCGTACTGGTCAGTCTTTTAAAACTATGTCGAAATTTAAATGACTTTTTAAAATTTTAGCTCTTCCAGGACATTTAGTTTTACAAAATTCCACAATTCAGTATTAAAACCAAACCGTGTCAATTTGTTAATTTTAAAGCAACTTTAGGAAAAAGGCATTTCCCCATTTATAATGACCAAATGTATCATCTTTAAAATGTAAAATGATTAATATCTGGAGTTTATAGAAGGCCCCTTCAGTCCCTCACCGGCCAGATCCGGTTTTTGGTTGAACCTGCAACTTGTGGATCCACTGCTTTGTACCAAATGTTACTGCTGATTTCAGTCGCTGCATTAACTCCTGTCTAAATAAAGTTTGAATGAAACGACCTCCAGTCAGATAGACGACAGGTTTTCTTGGCTGCAGGTTCATCAACGAGAGTTTAACTGGTCCCATTTGATGCTCTCTGTTGCTCTTTCCACATCAAAATGAAGGATTACTGAAAAATCCAACCTTTTTTCTGGCTTCAAAGTTGAACTGTCCTGAGAGGCCTGCACTAAACAAAGTGAGAAACAATAAAAACATATTTACATTTAAAATATCTTGGGGGCAGATACGATGTTATCGAGGGCCTGATTTGGCCCACGGGCCTCCACTTTGACACACTTGAGATAAATGTATGCTATCACATTATCATACCACCACATTGGATGCACGTTGACCATTTCAGCTGTGTTACTACCCAACTTCACGGCCCAGACGAGCACCTGGGGTGGGTTGGCTCCAACCCGCCTCGCCACCCCGTTACATTCATAAATCACACCAAGGCGTCCGAGTCCCGGAGGTGGTGAAGCTCACGGTGCTACCTGAAGCGTTTCTGCTTCATCAGCCAACATTGAGGCAAAGACGACAGACGACTACTAATAACTTCAAATAGTTCCTGCAGTGGATGTTTTCATGTCGCAGAGCGACAGGATTATAATTTACAGTGAAATTCAGTAAGAGTGTAAATTTAACATTGCACAATATAAAACACTTTGTTTTATTGTTGTTTAGTGTTAACTAATCGTAGCAAACGAAGATAAACTCATGCAGGCAGAAGTTCAATATATATCTACAAATAAAACACACGAAACACAACACAGCTAGCTTCAAGCATTAGCCTTTAATGATGCAACGTAATTAGAACGGATCAATTATGACAGAAAATGGAGGATGTACCTGCAGTGACCTTCGTACAGATGAACATGTGGTACTTCCTGTTTCCAGGTCGGCCGCAGGGCTTTATCATCTTTTACATTTTTCCAAACTGTTCGGTTTTTGAAATGTAATAAATTGTATTCCACCCTCTGAACTCTGAGTTACGTGTCCTGCACTGACGAGGCGTTTCACTTCAGGACAAATTGTGATGGCTGATTGGTCAGTTGCTGACGAGCCTGCTGGATTGATCGATGGGTCACGTCAAGTGTTTTAACTTTTGGAGCCTCAACTAACCTACATTAGCCAAAACAAACATGGCAAGGACTCGCAGGTTAACGGACACTGAGCTAAACTTGGCGTGGCAGTAGCTGAGAGTCGTCCACAACAGACTTGAGTGCGATATCGGACATGTTGTTTTTCAGCTTTGACCAAAACGGTTACAACTCCATGGCTGTGACTCTGGGATGAAAGGCAGCGGGCGATATGCTCCGTCAACAAATGTTTGGCATTAATTATTGATTCCCTGTGATTCTAACCTAAATACACCACCACCACCACCACCACCACCACCGGCTGCAGTTTTCACCTCTGCTCTTCTTTCTCAGGTATTTATTTAACCAACATCTTAAAGACGGAGGAAGGCAACCCTGACTTCCTCAGATGCAACAACAAAGATCTGATCAACTTCAGCAAGAGGAGGAAAGTGGCTGAAATCACAGGAGAGATCCAGCAGTACCAGAACCAGCCGTACTGCCTGAAGGTGGAGGCAGACATCAGGGTGGGAGCTCCTGCACACGACGGTTGTTTCCAGCACCAGCAGCGCTCATTTCTGGAAGAGTAACGCTCTCTCTTCCCGTCACAGAAATACTTTGAGAGCCTAAACCCGATGGGCACCATGGACGAGAAGGAGTTTTCAGACTACCTGTTCAACAAGTCGTTAGAAATTGAGCCGCGGAACGCCAGGCAGCCTCCCAGATTTGTGAGTAATCTTTGTAATCGCTGATTTAAGCAGCAGCGTGCGGCGCTTCCTGTCAGGCGGTGCAGCTAATGGTGCGAAACACTGACGTCTGCTTTTCTTCAGCACTTAACTGGTTCCACAGTTTTTGTTCCATTTCAACAAATCATGTCTCAAAACGTTCGGCTCATTCAGGAAGTTCCTGCTGGGACTTTGTGTATCTGTGCCGTTTTTACTTTTTGAAATGTTTAGCTTTGTCGGCCATGTTTTTATCGTTGAAAATGATTGGAGCTCTTCAAACCCTCTGAGCTGTTTACAACCTTTTACTGCTCGTTTCAGCTGTGGTTCTGGCTTTAGCTTCAGCTTCCTTTGGCTGCTTTCAGTTTTTTTTTTAAATATAATTTCAGACTAATCTTTTCAGCCTCTCTGCCTATTTCACCTTATCCCGCTCATTTCTGCTGTTTTTTGCTGCTTTCAGCAAACGTCAGCCGTTTAATTGGACTTGCATTAACAGTTCAGTGATGAAACCTTTTCAGCTGGTTTCAGCTTCTTCTGCAGCTTTCAGCTAAAATCATTTGTCAGTAAACATCCACACTGCTCTTAAGCAGATGAATTTGTAGCTTGAGTTTCGGCTCTGCTGGGTCACAGCAGCTGAACTTGTTTATTTTTCCCACATTGTGCCTCACCAGTTAGTCTTGCCCAGCACCAAGTTCTTTATTTACAGAAGAACTTGACTGTAGGGAACAAAGTTTCAGAAAGTTTTGTCGGCTCATGGTTGACTGAAAACAAACAGTTGGACCAAAGCGTAGAAGAAGCGAACAGTCGTCGAACTCTTGCTCATGAAAACGAGTCCGAAGCGTGACGTCGGTTTACTAAAGACTGAGAGCAATCTGACGTTCTGCTCGATTTAAATAAAATGATAAAGCTTCGGTGTTCCTAAAACTATGAGAGATGTTATAATTAAATCCCGCCCCTCCATGTAAAACAAATCAGTCATTTTATGACTAAAATATAAAAATTAATTTCAAAACATTTTTTCAGGTGTTGAATTTGTTTATATTGTTCTTACCTTGCTGCTTTTTGTTTAAATGTACTTTTTTTTTTGGCTTCGGTTATTTGAGGCTTTAACAAAGTATGGACTGTGACTGACATATTATCGTTGGGAGGCGGGACATTTGTACACGTGCACGACCTCCGACTCCAACATGCAACATGGTCGCCTTCAAACAAACATCTAGGCCTCGGGTGGGATTTTACGTTTGGTTATTTTCAAGGTTTGACAGAAACCGCTCCAGCTCCATGACCTGAGTCGTGAACGCAGCACGTGCACCTGAATAAATGTGTTCTGCTGCAGTAATGGCTCATCGTCACCAGAGGGCGCTGTTGCGCTGGTTGTTAGAAATAATCCAGGAAAGCAGAGTTCATGAATTAAATCTTTGGAAATATTAGAAGCAGCTCTAATGAAGATCTTTTCCCAAAATATGGCCCAGGTTTCTCCTCTTGTTAAACTCTTCTCCCTCGTCTCCAGCCGAGGAAGTCCACGTACCCTTTGAAGTCCCCGGGGATTCGACCCGTGCGGACGTCTACCTCTGGCACCCTGAAGGGCCACCCCGTGCCCCTGGAGCGGGACCCCGCACACAAGATCACCTTCCGCAGCATCGCTGAGAACGACCTGGAGCCGCTGGCGTCTGCCTCGGTGCCCACCTCTCCCAACACCCCCACCCCGCCGCAGTCGGCCTGTTCAGACCTCAGCTCGGTTTTCGAGCACGACCTCAGCAGTTCGTACGGCGGTGAGTCGAGCAGCTGCTGAAACGCAGACGGGTTGTTTGAAGCTCTTCATTTGCGTGTGTGTGTTTTTACAGGCACCAACTCCATCTTCGCCACAGTGATGCTGCCGCCTTCAAGTGAGTACGCACTTTTCTGTAGCTCGTTTACTCCTGGAGCATTTATGTGGAGGTTTTTAACGTTTGGTCCGTCTTGCTCGTCTCAGAGATACAGTCAGCCTCGTGCGGCAGCCTCCACCAGCTGGGAGAGGAGCTGAAGCCGCCTCCTTTGCCTCCTCGAAGGAAAGACACCGTCTCCGAAGCAAAGGTAAGAGAAGTGCTGGGAACGATTGCAGAACTGTTCCTCTGGAGCTCGGACCAGAAATGCACTGGAAATCAAGACTTTTGTTTATAATCACTTTAGTAAAAGTATATAAACTTATAATCCTTAAAACAAGCCCCGGCAAGAATGATGGAGTCGCCACTCTGACGAAAACGTGCACATTTCTAGTCACTGGTGATTTCTTCCCACAGGGCAAAAGATGTGAAAACGTTCCTTTCAAGAAAGACACGTGGTGTCAACGGCATGTCCTGCAAGTAGTCCTGGTCTGAGTCCAGTTGAAAAGTTCTGCTGGAAACTAAGGGAACTGGTGCACGACCTGCAGAGCTGATCTAAGAACAGCAACAAGAAACAGCTGGAGGCAGATCCATGAAACTCTCAATAGTTCGGTCCAGACCTCAGAAAACTCAAGTTGCTATGAAAACCAGAGGAGGTGCAACAAAGTACTGGTTTTTATTTTTTGTCTATAAAAAGTAATTGTAACAAACCAACAGGTTTATTTATTATTTAATTTCTCGTAGGAAAGTCCCTATAGAATATTGGCTGACACGTCAAAATCCAAGATGGCCACCACCATATGTAGAAATGTAAACCTTCCACAAAGATCATTTGAGGAAACTCTGCTTTCTAGTTTATAAATAGTTTAGTTTCCTCAGTTGATGAAGTGGCCAAAGATTCATCTATGGGGGCCAAGGCCACCGTTGGCCACCCCCTGGCTCCTCCACCGCACCTGATGGTGGATAAAATGACTCCTCCTCCAGGAGGAGCTCCACCTCAGAGAAAAAATAAAAACCTCCCTCTGTTCTTCAGAGTAACTCCTGCATCTCGACAGACAGAAAACTGAGTGAAAAAGTCTAACGTGAATAAATATTGAACTTTGAAGTAAAGATTTCTGAGCTCATGACGTTTTTATTTTTTTATTTTTGTGTCACAGCTGAGCCCCCGGCCCGACAGTCCTCCTGCCATCCCGCCCAGACTGCCTCCCCCTCTGCCGAGGAACCAGCCTCGACCACCGGTCTACAACGGCCCCCCCATAGACGGGCCCCTGCCCAGCCCGCCTCCTCCCCCACCTCGAGACCCTCTTCCAGACACGCCTCCCCCGGTGCCCCAACGGCCCCCGGAGATCTTCATCAATTACCCCCAGCCTTCGCCCGTGGGCCGATACCACTGGGAATTTGGCAGCTCCCCGAGCTCGCCCAACACCCCCCCCAGCACGCCGTCCCCTCGGATCCCGAGGCGGGGCTGCCCGCTCAGCGCCAGCCAGAACAGCCTGTGCCCCGTCCCCATCACCGCCCCGCCCGTCCCCCCACGCCACATCTCCAGCCCGCAGCTCCCCAAACTCCCACCAAAGACGTATAAAAGGGAGGCGCTGCAGCCGCCGCTCCAAGGCCTCTCATTGGTGGAGAACACGAGCAGCAGCCAGTGATGCTGCAGCGTCCGCCTATCCACCGAACCACCCCAGAAACTGATCTGGGAACAGAGAAAACTGCTCCACACACTCCAAACTCTGCAGGGCATCAGGGGACCACACAGGAATAAAACCTGAGGACGACGTCTTGTTTCCAGTTTGGACGTTAAAGTCTGAAGTTTTTGATTTGAGCTGGTTTCATTCCTTCACAATAAGAGTCTCAGCTGGTTTCAGTCCTTCACAGTAAGAGTCTGTCACGAGTGCTAACCTCAGAAACTTCGCTCTAAACACCTGAAATGATCGTTTCATCGATGAATCAAACGCTGCAGCCTAGACCACCACGAGCACTGACTTTAGTCAGCGCTCAGGGTTGAGACTCTTATTGTGAAGGACTGAAACGGGTTCTGTAAGTTCTGCTGCAGATTTCATAAACTTCAGACCAGATCCGTCTAAAAAACTATTTTTCTGAATTTGAACATTTTTCTATCAGTCATATTCCCACTTTAATCTGTAAAGTAATAAAAACAGCTTCCTCCTCAGTTTTTGTCCTCCGTGGGGGGGGGTGCGCCTGAAACTCTGCCAGATGACCCGCTGTGCCTCGTGGGATCAGTAGCTCCGCCTCCATCAGAACCCTCTGTGCCAACAACAAACCCACACCGGTGTGCCAGCTAATCAACCAGGAGCATTTGTGTCCGACACACTTAATGTCCCTCTATCACGGGGGGGGGGGGGGGG